TGAAGTCCACTGAGACACATGTAACATTTGTGATATTGGGCTGTATAAATAAACATTGATTGATTGATTGGTTGGTTGGTTGATTGATTGGTTGGTTGGTTGATTGGTTGATTGATTGATTGATTGATTGATTGGTTGATTGGTTGATTGATTGGTTGGTTGGTTGGTTAGTTGGTTGATTGATTGGTTGGTTGGTTGGTTGATTGATTGGTTGGTTGGTTGGTTGATTGATTGGTTGGTTGATTGGTTGATTGATTGGTTGGTTGGTTGGTTGGTTGGTTAGTTGGTTGATTGATTGGTTGGTTGATTGGTTGATTGATTGATTGGTTGGTTGGTTGGTTGATTGGTTGATTGGTTGGTTGATTGATTGGTTGGTTGATTGGTTGGTTGATTGATTGAACATGGCACTAACTGCTGGCTCTAACCCTGTGTGTTCCTCTCACCCGCTCCCCTCAGATCTCCTCTCTGCTCACCAGCGAGGTTCACTCGGTTCGTGCGGGGCGCCACCTCGCCACCAAACTCAACATCCTGGTCCAGCAGCACTATGACCTGGCCTCCACCACCATCACAAACATCCCCATGAAGGTAAGGGGCTTCCTGCCCTTCATCTTGACCATGCACATGCTTCGACTTCATTCAAATCCATTTAGACTCGTACAATCTTTTGCTAGTACACACGTATCACATCCAGAATGCAGTGAACCATCATTTTTGATTATTCCATTCCAGCCTTGACGCATTTTTTTTTTTTTTGCTTGCTTTATCTTTCCGTATGCGCCCGCCCTCACCGATAATTACCCATCCCCACTTTGTTTTATCTCATCTGCATGTTGATCTGACTGTGATTCTGCTGCTGGTTTCATGCTGTATTTTCTGTTTTGCTAGCCCACATTAAATGTTTGCGAACAGGTTAGTACTCTTGTCACACACACATGAAAGGGAGGGTCAGAGTTTTTACACCACATAGTGTACACAGTGTATGTTTGGAGCTCTGCTGTTGCTAGGCAGACACAGTGTCTTTTCATTTGTTTTGATGTGACAGTTGGTCTACAGATTTCTGGTGAGGCTCCAGTGAAGGACGGGGCAACTCTGGTCGGTCTGCTGCACACCTCAAATTCACTTTTTGTCATTAAAAACAAGCTTGGACTACATTGGCTCACCGATTTTTATAATATTTCTGACATAACTGCTCAAAATAATGCAGAGTTTGAATGTTTCATTCAATTGTTTCTATGTCCAAACTTCTCTGACCAGCGTTGCCTCTCCTGTGTGTTTTTAAACTTTTAAAAGTTATCCAAAGTTCCCCCTTGGTCTCTGTTCCCCCATCAGTTCCTACTCACTCCCCCTCTAGTGTCTTGTTGTGGTTCATTGTGCTGTCTGGATTGAACTAGTTTTAGTTTTAAACTTGACCCGTTATATGTGTAATGATTCCCCCTTTAGTCCATCTAAAACTTTTATTTTAGGTGTAGAAAGTTTTCAAATTAGCTTCGAATCAGCATATTAAGCATCAGGCCCAGTATATCAAATCTGGTTTTGGAAATATATAATTTATGTCAACAAGTATTTAGCTAATTTAAAGACTCATGCATTCAACACTAGTCCCTGATGTGAGTAGAAATCATATTTATTCACCCAGAGAGCTTCTTTTGTTTTACTTTGTTCATTTTCATTTACCCTTCGGAACATGAAATCAGCAGTGTTATGTGTGTTTGACCCTGTGTTTGTGTGCGCGTGTGCGTGTGTGTGTTAGTTAGCACATTAGAACAGCTGACACCCCACTCACCTGTATGTGTTGTTGTTTCTGCGGATGTGCAGGAAGAGCAGCACGCCAACACGTCGGCCAATTACGACGTGGAGCTCCTGCATCACAGAGACGCTCACATGGAGTTCTTTAAAAGCGGTGAGAAGTCTTTACGACATCCTGCGTGTGTGTGTGTGTACATGTTGTATTCATCCACTCGTCCTCAGAAATGAACACCTAACATGTGACCCTTTGTGTGTTGCAGGAGACTTGCATATGGCCGGCAGCAGCACGAGAGAAAACGGACTGAAGGAGACGATCACACTGAAGTGGTGCACGCCCCGAACCAACAGCATAGGTGGGAGCAGCTGGAGGTCATGTGTGTGTGTGTTATTTCATATTAAGGTTTTTAAAGGTCCTGCTGCGAGGAGCGGACAGTGAGAGGGCTGGGTTCATATCCTGCTTGCTGCGTGGGGTCTGCGAGACATCGTGAATGGACGTGGAAAGGGGGAGGGGGTGGTGCTGAGGGGGCTGCAGGACCCCCATCCATTCCCACATCCACACTCTGCAGCTTTGGGGACAGAGCCTTCTCAGTGGCAGCTCCTAGACTCTG